GTCTTATGGGGATGTGGTTTTTGTCCGTTAAAGGAAGTCAAGTCGCCACAGCATGACTGTGTAAACAGCATAAAACACACACAGGCACACTTGTGATGTTTTACCTTAAACACACATACAGAAAGACACAAGATAAGAACGTGTTTACTCATCAAACAGAGAAGTTAATTGACTTTAATCACACTGTGGTGCTGTTCAGTTTTAAGCATTACACAGAGATGTATTTCTTATATTTCGCTCTGCCCATTAACACAAATACAGTCCTGTATTTTTCAGACTTTTCCCGTTGTTAAGCTGATAGCTAAATTAACTATCAGTAGCTCCTGTGTGCAGTAAACCCATGAATGTGCACACAGCTCCCACTACTATACTCTGAACCCGAAAACTGACAGATTCTTAATGACGTTCTGCAACATCTGCTGAATCTAATGTAATGTATGCATTTTTATTATAGTGGACATCAAAAGCGATGGTTTCTGTAAAAAATGAAGATCACATTGATCTTATCTTTGCCGGAGGCATGATGCTGCACGTTTCCCACAAAACACTAATATTTGACATGACTCTGTTCAAGCGTGGCTGGAATTTACTATCTTGATTAAAATGATAAGAGAGCAGTTTTCCTACAGTATCTGAAGCGCTGCTCAGAAGTCCCTCTTAGATTGAATCACTCAGTTTGGATTGCATCAGTTATAACAGCTGATTAACTCTCAGGGTGACTGTGGTCTGGGAAAGAGACGGACTGCTCCTTTAACTCCTCCACCATCAGGGGACAACATGGCGCCAGAGATCGTCTTGGAGTAAGATGATTCACTCCAGCAGTCCTTCAGTTAGCGATCCTCAGACTCAGAGTTCATTACCGGCTCATGCCTGTATGTTCCCCACTGATCCCAGAGCAAGTCACCACTGTCACGGCAGCACTGGACGATTTTCAGCTTTTCATTAAAAAAAAATATGATTTTTTTTTTTAAATTTGCTAGTTCAAGTTACTATAAATTTTGCGTTATTTATTAAACATAGAGGTTTTTAGTTGAACACAAAGAGAAGCAGGTTTAAAATGCAATGCACTTATTTATAGAGAAGCTCAGATCAGCTTCATTTCAACATGGAAACACTGGCATGACGTGTTCAACCATAATGTAGCTCCTTGTTCCGGTTGTCATGTTGCTTGTGAGCATCTTTAATGATGAACGCTTTTACTAGTTTTTTCATCAGTGTTGGTAAAAGTAACACTTTGTTACATTTTTGTTACAAAGTCCCGCGCGGACAACTACAATGTAACTAAAAGTATCATAAGTCACGTGTGTGAGCAGAGTGAGACCTCCTTCCGTCCGTCTGTCTGTCTGTGAACGTCCCAGCTCCGTCACGGGGACGCGCCCGCACTCACACGCACTCACCCGCCGCGCGGCCAGGCCACCGGCCAGCCTCTCCGCCTCTCTCCCCTTCTCTTCTCTCTCCTTTTCCTCCATTTTTCCGTTCAAACTCTCCGCTCACTCCCGGCTCGCCGCTCGAGGCCCGCTCCACGCGGACAGGAGCGCGAGGAGGCGGACTGACCACCGGATTAGCAACTTTTTCCAGCGACGGGCTGTCCCGGAGCTGCCGTGATTCACCGCCCCAGCAGCCAGCGGCGGGCCTCAACTTTCCCCAGCCTGGGCTCACCGGACGGTGACGTCAGCCCGGAGAAAAGTTGAGCTCGAGGCGCCGGTGCTGCCGTTATTCCCGGGAGCAGCTCCGGTTAGTGTACGCTGGAACTTTTCTGTGAGGCAGCAGCGCCCCCACCCAAATCCCTCCACCCCCACCCTCTCTGCCCGGCTGTCCCGGTACCGACAGGCCCGCACCGGGACCGGAACCAAGAGAGGCTGCTGCCCCGCGTGCCTTTGTTTGTTT